CTCTCTCTCTCTCTCTCACACACACACACACACACACACACACACACACACACACACACACACACACACACACACACACACACAATCAGTTTTATATCTGTCGGTCCTTTTCCTATTGTCCGTCTCCCCTCTGATTTTTTTTCTGTGTGTGCCCAACTGAGCACCCTTAGGTAGTGCCAAACAGTCGGTGGTTCCTCGTTTGGAGTGCCAACTGCACTCTTAGGGGGGCCGCTCGGTTCGGGTTATCTATGTTGCTTGTAGGTGATGACGGATGCTCGTCGGAGTGTCTCCCTGGCTCAGTGGGTGGTGGGAACCAACAGTCTGTGGGGTTCACCCGTGATGTGAGTAGGTGATGTGGTGCTTTGCTCCGTGTTGGATGTGTGGACGACCCCGTCTGCACTCCACCACTGCCTTGCTGCCCATTCCGCTTGCCTCGCAGGTTGGCATGCTGCTGTCTTCGCTGTGTGGTGTGGCCGGGTTGTGGTGTTGCCTTGCGCTTCGCTGCCTTGCCCCCCGCCTGCTGGTCGTGCCTTCCTGGTCTTTTGCTTGCGTGCCCTGTAGTTTGGTTGCCGTGTTGGGGTTGCCTTGTGCTCCTCAGCATGGTCGCTCTGCTGCTTGTCCGCTTGCCCTCTCGTCCCTTGCAGTGTGGTTGTCTTGGTGGTGTTGCCTGGTGCTTCACTGCTTGGGTGCCGTGCTGTGAGTTTGGCGTGCCGTGTCGTTAGTTGCAGTCGTTTTTGGCGTTGTGCAGCCGTGTTGCCTCTACTGCGCTGCCTGGTGCTCCGCAGGGTTGCTGCCCGCTGCTATGTTCCGCTTGGGGACAGTCTGCCTTCAACAAGGGTCAAAGGGTTCATGACCCAAACCATCAATACGGGCATTCCGCATATTGTCGAGGGTTCAGCCTCCTGATGAGTCGGTGCAACTCCGACGAAACAATCTTTCATCATCAGTTTTATTTTTTTCGGTCTTTGCGTTTTTGGACTTGTGTTTTTCCTTGATGATTTGTGTTTTTGTGTTGGCATGCCCTGTTGCTTCATGGCTCGCTGGTGTTCTTCTGGTTTCTCTGCCCTGTTCACCCAGTTGTTGCCTGTTGCTGGTTGTCTGCCTACCCGCCTCCCCTGTTCCCTCCAGCTTTTGTTCTTTGCTGTTGCTGTTGTGTTTCTGTCCTTTCGCTTCACCCTTCTTCTCTCAACCGTCATTCTGAGTGTCTCCTGTTGTTGAAGTCTGAAGTCCTTTTGTACGTTGTCATGCCAGTCTCAGTCTTGGACTACAGTAGTGTTTGGCTGCACGTAGCCTTGCGATGTGCTGTTTTGGGGAAGGTCATCTGGTGTGAAGCTTTTATGCTGGGGTCTTGTATTCTTACCCCC